TGCGCCAGATTCTTATACTTATCATAAAGTATCGACACTTTAGCAACCTTTAACACTTAAACAAAGAAAATATTTTTAAAATGAATAACAACCAATTAATTTTAAAAATTTGGTGTTAATAGAATAATATTTTTACACCAAATTTAGCATTTTCATAAGATCGGGTCCCTTCAGTCCCCCGTTAAAAAAAAACAATTTTAATAATTTAATAAAAGATAAAAATTTTTCAGCAGTATTCCGGTATCTAAACATAAATTCTAATAAAAAATGCCTTTTCTTAATCTCTAGTTTATCTCTTTCTTGCTTGTATTTAAACCTTAAGCTTTTTATCATAAGATTCTCAGTGCTGAGTATAAAGCCAAAAATATGATCTACAAGGTTGTATTTATAACAAACAGTGTAATAGTCATATAACCTAAGTTAGATAAGCTTCTATGAGCTTTATATTTATAGGGGTGTATAATATTTCGGGCTTTAACGATAAAATTTATTATGGGAATAAGAACGCTTACAGATTTAGATTCTACAAAAATAGCATATCCTAATGCAGGTTTAAATGATTATCAACGATGCAGAAACACCAACAGACTTGTACGAATTTACCTCTATGATCATTAACATTATAATTCAATTTGATTTCATCTATATATGCCCAAAAATATGAAAATATTTCAGTTTAACATGATTATCGGTGAAAAATAAAGCAATTCGTTCATTAAAATTGTTGCATTTTCTTTAGGAATTTCCAAATGCCAGAATGTTCAATAATATTAGCATAATTATTACCATACACGTAGTAATAGGTTGTTTTTGGTATTGTTTTAATATCATTTTTAAAAGAGTAGAGTCAAAAATTGGATTGCAGAGAGATGGTCCTCTGGTAGTGCTGATAACCGTAAAAGCAGGATCTTAATTCAAACTTATCAGAAATTTAAAATTATGCATAAGGCGCATACATTAACAAACTTACAGATCTGTTCATCTTTGATTAAATTCTATTCAAACAATAAAGTTAAAATTTCGTTTTCATCTGCTATGATTAGAAAATCTTATTCTGTTTATCTCATCATTTTAAGGGCAAAAAAACTAAAATAATTAGTATGATATAGCAATCTTTTTATGTTTTAATCAGCCTATTAACAAAAAAAATTGATTATATATAAAGATTTTAAGCTTTGGTTAAAAGAAATATTATCAATTTTTTTAACTATATAAAATTTTAACTAAGAAATATAAATCAAAGATCTAAAACACATAAAATATTTATAACTATGTATCCACACAGATTGTTCTTTAAATATGAATAAAAAGATTTAACTATAACACACGCCTTATATTTGTAAGTTCTATGCTTTTATTATTTTACGACACAAGTTTGAAAACACACAACCCTCAAAAATCACAGCCATAAAATTTAGTTAAGAAATTAACACAATATTGTTAATATTTATTTTGACCAGTACAAAGTACCCATAATCAAGCATGTTTGTAAAAGTTTTGGCTATACTTTTTAATGTTATGACAAAGAACAAATACTGTATAAAATGTCTGCAGACGAATTTGGACAACTGCAAATGAAGATAAATAACTCCTTCTTTGCTAACAATGTCAAGTAAAGCTGTTAATATTTCTAGTATTTGGCAGCTTTTTCGAATGACATGCCAACGTTTATAAAATTGCTTTGTTATAAATGATAACCACTCTGAGAGTGTTAGGATAAATTGATGAAAATTGCTAAATATTATATTTTGAGTATTATTTAAACCAAAGTTTGGCTAGCTTTACATAACATTTAAAAAATTCATATAATTATAGATTTATATTTTATTCATTTAGAATATAACAGGTTTATATACTATTAATCATTACAACCAAGTTTGTAAACGTCACATGGACATTTTATCGTAACATCTTTTATAAGACATACCTAATCAATGCTATGTACTCTTTTACAATAGCTAAACTTTCACAAATAATGACCAAAACAATTAAAAAGCGGTTTACAATATATTAATACATAATGACAAAATCTTGAATTTTAACTTGTCTAAAAATAAGAAGTTATAAAAGACAGAGAATACTACTTTTTAGCAGAATCAATACACACAGTTAAATATTGGTTATGCAAATATTTAAATTAAGAGTTTCTAATGAGATGAATATAGAAGCTTTTAATATTGAAAAGAAGGAGTTTATAAAAAACTTAAATGTTAATAATTAATTGAAAGATATAATACAAGCTTTAGTAAATAAATTGGTGGAGAAAAAACAAAATAAAAATAAATGAATTATGCTTTCAAGAATTGATTATTTTTGTATTCGAGATCTTTTTAATAAATTTGTATTATTTTTAACTTTATCGTTTAATTTTTTTTTATATTTACATTTACTTATTTTTTAGACTTTGTGCATTACATGAAGATTCATTGGACTATTAGATGTTTTATACATCCCTTTTACGTATATATTTAAATGTTAATAAACCCTCAATTTTTTACAAAATATCACATACCATTCCTTTAAAAGTATTAAATCATCTTGTATCTGTTTACTATAATCATTGAACATAGTATTTACACTGTCTGTCTTTACTTTCTTTTTAATAGACCACAATGCAAAACTTGTTTCCCATTTATTGTAAAAATTTTATTTTCGGTAATTATAGTTTCGACATTATTAGAAGTGCCCTTTCTTCATAAATTATATTTACATTGCTTTTGTTTAGTATTACATACTTTCTTGTATGTACATATGTATTATTATGCAAAGTTTAAGATACTGTTATTTTTTCATAATTTTAATTTCAGAAGAATATTTTGATTTTGTAGCACAGAATTGAAACATCATCATGAAAAAAAGCCTTTTATTCGGCCAAAAGTTTATCTTTTTATTTATTTATTACAGTCCATCATTGAACCTTCCATGCTTGAGTCCATTGCTTTAAAGTTATCCGCTTCATTCCCCAATTCAAGCTTCAAGTGAGCTTCAGGGCTTCGGCGACTAGCGACAGTTAAACTATCCAGAGTCATCTTGAGACTCTCGCCTGTATATATGCCTATGTGCGTGGTTCTAATCCTATGTCGTTCGCGTATAGCGGTGGTAATTTGTTACTATGCCACCTCACGTCATTACATACGGTATAATCTTAGACTTATATTTATACATGGACGCTGTATGATTTGCTAGGAGATCATACTTATGTTTCTTCTTTGTCTCAAAAGCGTGGAGATTTTCAAATCCAGTAATTCCAACTTCTACTATTGTAATCTTCTTTCTTATTTTATCCACGATGAATATATCTGGATTATTATATTTGATTACCATATTAGCTTGGATTCTACTGCCTACTCTTATTTCAACATCTCTACTTGCAACCAGATCTTGCAGGGTATGATTCTTGATCTTCTTGCACGATTTAAGTCCATAATTTACGCATAACTGTAAATGTACACATCTTAATGCTTCATTATGGCGTCTCATATAATCATGTACAAGCATTCTATTACACTGGGTAGCCATATGGTCTACCGACTTCATCTTTTTCTGTCAATGTGGGCATTTAACTTGCTTTTCCAGGAAAATATTTTTGTTTTGTAATCATCATGAAAAAAAATTTATTTAGAAAAAGAATTTGTAATTAATGTCAATTTCTTTGTTTTCTCCTTAAACAATTGCAGAGTAGAAGAGAATTGCTACACTTGTCAATAACTTTAGCGTCCAGTGGATTAACAATATTATCTGGGCTTTGAGCTATTTATACAATAATTATACATTATTAGTCTAGCATTATTTATAGGTAAGCAACCAGAAAATAAAAATTCCTTGATAATGCAAAACCTACTTGGTAAAAAGTTGTTTTGGAAAATATAATTTTTATTTGTTGTTCACCCTCGTGGATTGTAATTACTTGTAAATGCCCGGTGACCCCTTCTTTTTTGAGTGTTTGGTTTCTGATTTATCGTACTTAAATTTCTTGGGGTCAAGGCCAAAATAAAAAAATTATTTATAATAAAAATTTTTCTAATGTAGTAATTAATACCACAATTAGACAATACAAAACATTTTTTTTAATGCTTAAAGAAAAATTTTGATGTTTATCATTGGTTGATAATTTTTGTAATTCAGCTTAAAGTTTAGTGTATTACAATTTTTTATTTATAATCTCATCGATTAAGCTTTTTACTTTTGTCTGTTTATTAACTCTAATATTTCGTCAACATCTTTTTCAGATCTACTAAACACATTATATCTATCGTATTATTCGTAAAGAATATGTTATGCTTATCAATAATCTCTTGTATAATGTATTACTGTTTAATTAAGTTTAGTATCATGTCCTTAATACCCCTTCTTTTATCATGTGATTGAAATGGTTTTTTTTGCATTTGAAAATGTACTTCGCCTATCAGTAGATATTATTTTTATTTATTTGTTCTTTTGGATCTGTTTGGATTAGGTTTTATAATATTTTATCAATAATTGCTAATATTTGTTCCTTATCATATTTGCTAAAACTTTAAAATAAGGCCCTAGAGTATCCAAGAAAATTTTTAGCTGCTTCCTTTAAGAAATATTTAATGTTGGGATCAACATGTGTCCAATCGAGGACAAGGTCAATTTAATAAAAGAACACAACTTTAGTGTAAACGGTTTTGATTAGTATTTTAAATATCTTTTTTTTGATACAGCAGAACATAACAGATTATTGGTCTCAAATTAATATAAAAGAATTCTTTTAGTAATAAAGATGTTTTATGCCAAATCCGAAATTAAGCAACAAAAGACTAGTTATCAAAGCAGATGTAAGAATATTAACCGATGTAAAAATAGAAGCTAATAAAAAGACATGTTTGTATTTGATAAGGAATAGTAATAAGACTAACGAACATAGTAAGCTACAAACAGTATAACTGGAAAAAAAAACAACAAATACGAATTGCAGCAAAAGAATTAAAATTTATGCAAAAATGTAAGTTCAAAATGATGATTCCAATACATCATGATTTGGGATAAATTAGTTACAAAATATCACAGCAACTTTATGCAAGAACTTAATATAGCAATTGAACACAAGCGTATACTCAGTTTAGAATAATAAAAAAAGTACTTGAAGGCATATTACTCAAATATATGCAAGATTGGAAAGATAAAGGATGGACACGATTAGCACACCACAGAGAGTTTTCTATGGTGGTTAGTTACAAATAACTAAGTTAAAAGACAGACATATATATTTTAACTTTAAAAGTTGACTATTTTACATCTCAATTTATATAAATTTTTACTTTTCCAGGAAAAAATAGTTAAAAACAAATAAATTTTAACTTGTTACATATAAAAATATATTTAACAAGTAATGTAGTAAGTAGTACACCACAGGTTGGCAATTTTATTCATATTTTCTCTTTACATCTACAGTGATTATATACAATTTTAAATTTACAAAATTTGGATATCTGCTGTATTAAATTTGTTAAAAATAGTAACATGAATAAACTATTATGCAATTTTGCAATTTCTTTACAAGGTTTGAAAGGTATAGAAAAGGATAATTTTTAAAATCTTAACACAAGCTGTATATAACCTTTTTAACATATATAGCAAATAATTAAATATTAAATGACATTCAGAAAGTATTTTATGTAATATTAATCTCTTCTGCCTTTAGTTGAACAAATCTGTCTCTGGATTTTTCGCTTCAACATCTAAACACACTTAAATCTTTATAATTCATGATTTTGACATTTCGTTAACTAACATTTTCTAATTATAATTATTATTTATAAGTTATGATCTCTTTAAATGGTTTTAATTAAAAGTAGCTTATATTTATACAGTTGCAGAGTTTTTATGTTTATACCCTTACAACGTTTTGTGATTTAACAATAAACGTGTTGTAAGATATCAATAAGGGACAACTTTTTTAAGACTAAAAATATACAACGATGCACTTAATACTTACAATTTAAAATAATTTTTAATTTAATGATTAATTTTTATGCACAAATATACACATTTCTGTTTATATAAAAAGATCAATTACTTTAAAACTTTTTTATAAAATCTTTATCTTTAGATAAATCATTTAAAACCGACCCAACTAAACAATAATGCTCATCATCAGATGAGGTTTTATAAATGTCGTTTGGCAAAAGCATAT